GAGAGCGGGGAATGACATAGAAATATATATATATATATATATATATATATATATATATAAACATGTATTCATCCTTTGAGTTCATTCCTATATCAAAAACCTCTTGCTTGGTTGGGCATTTGTCATTTTTCTCTACTTAATTTATTTATTTTTGATCGATCCACTTTGGTAGCCCGAAACCACACAAAAGGCTACACGATACTTTGAAATCAAGAAGGGTTAACAAATTCAGCATATCAGAGTTTGAAAGTGAAAAGAAAACAGAATTGTGTGAAGCTAAATTAGAAGAAATGGCAAGACCAACAGCAACAGCCCACATTTTCAAGTCAAAATTACCAGACATACCCCTCCCCAACAACGTCCTTCTCCACACATACTGCTTCCAAAAACTCCCCGAAATCGCCCACCGCCCATGCCTCATCGCCGGCGACAGAACCTACAGCTACGCCGAAACCCACCTCCTGTCGCGGAAGGTCGCCGCCGGCATGTCCAAGCTCGGCGTCCGCAAGGGCGACGTCGTCATGATCCTCCTACCCAACTCCCCGGAGTTCATCTTCTCTTTCATGGCGGTCTCCATGCTCGGTGCCGTGGCCACCTCCGCCAACCCCTTCTACACGGCCGCAGAGATCTCCAAGTACCTGGCCGCCTGCAAGCCGACGCTCGCGGTGACGGAGGCGGCCACCGTCCACAAGCTGGACATGGGGTGGGGCCTGAAGGCGGTGGTGACGGTGGAGGAGCCGGCGGAGAATTGCGTGAGGTTCTGGGATGTGGCAGCGGCGGACGAGAAGGAGGCTCCGGCGGTGGAGATATTCTGGGAGGATGCGGTGGCGCTGCCGTTCTCGTCGGGCACGACGGGGGTGGCGAAGGGGGTGGTGCTGACGCACAAGAGTCTGATGACGAGCGTGGCGCAGATGATGGAGGGAGAGAACCCTAACTTGTACATGACGGAAGAGGACGTTATTCTGTGCGTGCTTCCGCTGTTTCACATCTTCGCTATGCACTGTGTGATGATGTGTGGCCTGAGAGCGGGCAGCGCTATTCTGCTCATTCCTCAGTTTGAGATTAGGGCGTTGCTGGAGGCCATAGAGCGCCACAGGGTCACGGTGGCCATGGTGGTTCCACCTCTCATCATAGCCCTCACCAAGAACCCCGCCCTCCATCATTATGACCTCACCTCCATCCGCTTCGTCATGTCCGGTGCTGCCCCTCTCGGCCTCCAGCTCCAAGAGGCTCTAGCCAATATATTGCCCAACGCTATTGTCGGACAGGTACTTACCTACGTATACGTACCTACCCTTGTTTTAATAATATATAATTAATTAACAACCTTAACTAACATATATAACATTAACTATTCATGCATGTTAAGGGGTACGGCATGACCGAGTCTGGCCCTGTCTTGTCCATGTGTTTGGGCTTTGCAAAGAAGCCATTGCCTACCAAGGTAGGCTCATGCGGAACAGTTGTAAGAAATGCAGAGTTGAAAGTAATTGAGCCTCAAACAGGTTTTTCTCTTCCACGTAACCACCCTGGTGAGATTTGCGTCCGTGGCCCTCAGATCATGAAAGGTTACCTCAATAACCCCCAGGCTACTGCAGCCATGATTGATGCACATGGTTGGCTTCATACGGGTGATATTGGCTACGTCGATGACGATGATCACATTTTCCTCGTTGAAAGATTAAAGGAACTCATCAAATTTAAAGGCTTCCAAGTATGTATATATCTTCATGTTAATGTTAACTTATTTCATTTACCCCTCAAATTAATTATAAATATATATATTTCATATCAATTATTAGGTGCCTCCAGCAGAACTTGAAGACCTTCTTATGAGCCACCCTTCCATTGCAGATGCCGCTGTTGTCCCGTAAGTATATATCATTGCTATATATATATATATATACAGCTACCTAGGGGCTAGTACTATTAATTAATTATATTATAATTAATCTTATGATTCGAACCAAATTAAACGTTAATTAACAGCCAAAAGGACGATGTTGCCGGTGAACTTCCAGTGGCTTTTGTCGTCAGCTTTGATCTAACACTAACAGAAGAGGCTGTAAAGGATTTTATAGCTAAACAGGTAAATATATATATATATATATATATACTTATGTTCCTAAAAGATGTTAAATCATAAGAAGAAATTTAATTAAGGAATGGTATATATGTTTGTCAACGTATGCAGGTAGTGTTTTACAAAAGACTACACAAAGTGCATTTTGTTCACGCAATTCCAAAGTCTATCACCGGAAAGATATTAAGAAAAGACCTCGTAGCAAAGATCGCCAGCATAGCTGAGAGGACCTAGTCACAAATAATAGTAACAATAATAATTTGAAAATAAAAATAGTTGTTATTGTGAGTTAATATGTAATGTGGGGTATTATTATTTTATAACAACTAAGTATTTGAAATGTTATTGTTATTATGTTAATTTAACATATTAATAAAAGGTGATGTATTGGTTAATGGTCAAGGCTTAATTTATTATAATTAGAATATATTCATGTAGCTAAATTGAGAAGAGTAATAATTTTTTTTTGTCTATTTATAATTTTTTTAACAAAGTAGTACTAGAGCTTAGATTATGCAAATTAAGAGCAACATTTAATGAGAAATGATAATCAATACCTTGAAATTATTTTAATTTTCATGTGTTATTAATGAGAATTATAATAATTAATATTGTTATTTGAAAGTCTTACTAAATCCTTAATATGCTTGTAAGGAAAGTTTTTCTTAATTTGAAATGAGACTATTTTGTCATCAAATGAGAAGAACAATTTCTTAAAGATGAACAAGAATGATCGAGAAACATTTGCATTCATCAAAGTTTAGATGAAGTTATGATAGAGATAATATCTAATGTTTTCGTACCTCCAAAGAAGCTTAAAAGATTTTTGAAACTTACCTTTAAGGTATTAACAAGATGAAGATGATGCATCTATAAACTTTATGTGGAGAGTTTGAATTTTTGCATACAAAGGAGTGAATTAATTTTAGATTTTTGCAATAGGATGTTAATGTTGTGAATCCAATTAAGCAACATGGAGAAAAGGTGGAATGATTTCTTGTGATGGAGAAGATCCTTTTATTCTTTAATTGTAAAACTTGATTGTGATTTGTGCAATTGAGGAGTTGAAAATTTTGAATAAACGATTGTAGACCAATTGATATGTTCACTTCAAGTGCATGAATAAAGATTTAAGAGAAGACACGTTGAGTTATTAGAACAAATCCTCAAAACCAAAGTTTTTTTTTTGTTGGAAAAATATGGAAAAGAGGATGTGGATGTGACCAAGGAAGCGGAGAACAATGCGATTTTTATAATGATGATAGAAAAATCACCTCTAGTTCATTTTTTTTTCATAGGTGATTGTGTTGTGCTTTTGCTTGGAACTCTATAAAGTACACAATTGTTAAACTTTTTATTTGTGAAGTTGAGTTTGTGACAACGACAAGATTTTTGAAAGAGTTTAACATGAAGTCACAGAAAAGTATATTAGAAAATGTATTAACAAAAATGAAGTAGAGCTAGTTGATCATTGAATCTCTTAAGTTTGAAAATTTTAAAAGATTATCCAGAGTAAGACTCGGCGAGCATAATTTATTTTAAGAAATTGCTAATTAAAGGAGAATGTTAGAAATAATAATAATTGTTCTTACCAGAAATCTGCTGTAGAGCTGATCCGCCGGGTAAGATTGGAGAGCCTCCTTCGCTGGGTGTATTGGTGCTTCGAGATGGGGGAGGTACCTGCAAAAGAGACTCCGATGCTAAAGTTATGGTTTGTATGAGTATGAGTCTCGTATATATAATGCACATACCTTTGTGTGAATTAGGGTTGTCTTGGGCCTGAGATAAGATATGATATGATACGATATCATATAATATGATATGATCACGTTGTGACATAATATGGTATAATTGGAGAACGGTTTTGGCCCGGGACGAGATCTCCGGGCTCGGGCGTGGTCTGTCCGGATTCCGGGCTGACGTTGTTCAACGCGTGCCCGGGATGACCCTTATAATGTCAACCCGGGCTGAGAGCCCGGGTGCAAAATGCAGTCAGTACACTAGCCCCCCGAGCTCCGAAGGCCGTAGGCCGAGGAGTTAAGGTCGGGCTCGTGAGAGGAGAGGTGGCTTTGCCTTTGCACGGGCCGCTGGGTGTTTAACCGTGCAACATACCGGCCCTGGGAGGGTCTGAGAACGGTATGCCCGTATTGGCCACAACTAAGGGAATTGACGAGGTACACCCATTGTGCTGAGTGCCAAGTTGAGACTCTTAGGAGAGGAGATGTGTATGAGCATATAGTGAGCATGTGTACGAAAGCTTGTATGATTAAAAAAAATGATGTTTGGTAATTATATGAGATGTATTTATTGTTTATATTTAATGATGATATTTTGGTGCACGGTGTGGGGGGGGGGAAATTGGGTAGCTCTAAGTTCATATATGATGTTATCCATCTCTCACCGTCCTGTTTTATGTGGTTTTCTTTTAGGTGAAGATGACGGCACTCATAGTGTTGAGTTCTAAAGGGAAAGGGTTCTGCTCTGATAGAATGTAACATTGGGGCATGAATTTTTCTTTTCGGCGGCGGCCTTCCCGTTAGCCACCTCCTTACCACGCGCCTTGCCCCGAGAAGGCGCAGAAGGACCGGCACCACTTCCCCCAGCCATGGAAAAGACGAGAAAGACTCGAAGAAGGTCGGGGAAGAAGGAAAAAGAAGACTGTAGAAAGGAAACACCTGGTACTCTCCCTCAGAAATTAACCCTAACAACGAAGGGGTTACCAGAAATGGCAGCAGAAACGGAGAAGACAGAGACGGAAGACAAGCAGAAAAGCGAGAGCAACAGCGTGCACAAGAAGCCACAAGAATGGAAAAGAGCAAAGTGAAAAAGGCCAAGAGGCGCGAGTGAAAGAAAAGAAAAAACTCTCCCCCAGAATTTCAAAACGGTCACGACATGTGTCACCCAAGGGACACGCCTGACCACACATTAAATGAGACCCCTTATGACAGAGGAAGCCATCATTGCATAACCGTCATGACCACTAACGTGCGTTTCGAAATACGAAACGACTTTTGCACGCGTGGCATCTTGACAGGCGGACATACGCGAAGGGTCACTTCCCCCTGGTGAACTCGGTCTTAACTCCTCGACCTACGGTCTTCGGAGCTCGGGGGGCTAGTGTACTGACCGTACCGCGAAGCCGAGCTCCAAGCTCGGCATCACAGTACCAGATGATCTCAGGCACGTGTCATACGACGTCAGCTCGGCATCACAATGCCAGATGATCTCGGGCACGCATCATACGACGTCAGCTCGGCATCCAATACGAAAGTCGCGGACCCCTGAAGGCCCAATGCTTAGCCGACTTCATAGTCGAGCTCACGCCAACTACTGTCGAGGAACCCCAGG